AGACAGTGACATCTTTTAAAACACTTCTTAAAATGTATTTAAAAAAAGCTTTTTATTAATTCTAGCACACCTTTTTTTTTGCTAGGATTTATAAAAGTTACTCCTGGATTGGTAATTTTGTCTAACTACACATAAAGGACCAATGGTAAGATCCAATGGTATACAAGTTTATGGATCTGTATCCAGATCTGTATATCATATTATATCATATATATATATATATATATATATATACACATACAAATAAAATATGTCAAAGATCCATTCTGTAATCTTCTGCATACGGACAGTATCTGTCTGTATATAAGTGTATCAACACCTTGGACAGTACCGTATTTCTGTGCATTTATTCCATGCACACACACACACACACACACACACACACATACCCAGCTGGTCTTAACCCTTGTATCTTAAGCAATTGAGCACTGTTCTTCTAAACTAAAGAATAACTTAACTGACTTTTAAGTCTTTATTGAATAAAACTGTAGCACAAATGAAGTTAAATATTAAAGTAATGTAAGTTACTGTATGTGATAATGGAGGCTTTACACAAATAAAACCTAAACTAAAATATGCCACATAAGCTTCATGTAAAATGCTTTTATTGAAAACAGGTCCCTATGTACAGTAGCTGCTTCCTTACTTATTGAAAATAGCATTCTGAACAGAAGAACAAATTGGAAGACAGGGATGTGACGTAAAGCGCTTAAGCTCTTGCAAATTCTTTTGGGTTAGCTGCATTTCTATATTGTGCAAGACAGTAATTACGACTACAGCTCCACAATTACCATAATATAGAACTGAACTTGGTGTACAGTATATAAATCTATAAATATTCTTTGCCGGACATTTTGTGTCCTACGTGTAGCTTGATGCATATAGATTCCCAAACATGAAATATGTAGTTTGCATTGGTTGATTTTGAAGCATTGTATGGCAAGGCAAAATTATGCAAACAGACCTAAAGCCTATTACAAAAGGTAATTTTTTCTTATTTTAGCAGATTTTCATGACAAAAATCTACTTGAGATTAGCTTCTCAAGTAGCAGAATTAGAATCTGCTTACAGTACTGAGCACTGATGACTGGTTATGCACAAGCGTATGTTTGCAAAAACACTGACAGTTGAATTAACTCATACTACAATATTTTTCTTACAGAAACTGTATTATAATTATGTGCACATACAGTAAAGAATAATTTAATATTAAATACATTTGTGAGAAAGATTGATCAAAGGAATGCAGGGCGTGGCTTGAAAATTAGTCTTTCATTGTGGGACACTCAACAGATGTCTGCTACAAAAAGTGACATAATTTGATTCTCAACTATGTCAGGAATCTCTCTAGTCTTCCCACTCCATTGGCAAAAGCCAAGGATGTGGATAACCCTGGCTGTGTGGTTTCCTGGGAACAGTAGCAGGAGAGGGACCGCCATAGTTTGTCACTGGCACACTGTGCTTGATTGCTGTGGAAGTCTTCTTCTGATTCATTAAGGCTTTTGTCAGGGAGCGATCTAACTCCTTAGCCTCATCCGTTGGTGGTCGTCCATGAAGAATATGTCTGATGGCGGGGAGAGCTAAGTCTGACTTACAGTCCAGGTAGCTCTTGAGGTTGAGATCAGGGAAAACTGCATCTCTGAGAGCCTGAACCAGCTGGGTCTCAGCATGGGACTGTTTGAGCTGATGGAAAACTCTCTGTTCCAGCGAGACATAGCACAGTGCATCTTCTGCCAGCCCCAACTTTCCCACAGAGCGGTTGGTCTGGCTCTTCTTCCATAGGGATGGGTTCAGAGTTTGTTGTTTGGATTTGGCCAGAGTCTCACTCTGTTGGTTTTTGAGGTCTTTCTTCTTGCCAGCATGGATCTTCTCTGAGCCACTCGGTAGGAGCTGATAGAGCCCTTCGTCAGCCAGGTCTGCTAGGTCACCAACCAGCAGCTGCTGAACGATTCGCTTCCTTGCAAGTGAAGATGTGACTGTGGGAATACCGTGCAGTCCTCTGCCTGCATCAGACACACAGCCAATCACAGCTTGTTAAACATCCCAGCCTGTGGGGTATTCCTGGGAATGACTATGGGCCTTCACACCTAGCATGCAACAGCGCTGCCTGTAGTGATAAACTAAAAGCACAAGCCATCGCCTGCTAAACACCGCTCATGAAAGCTAATAGCAGCAGATTCCACAGAGCAATGTCAAAACACAAGTGCCATTAGAGAAGCATAGCTCTGAGCGGAGAGCTTTGAAATGAGGAAAACATGCACATTCATACCACACTATATGGACCTAAATACCATACAGTGTGGTAAACCAGCCAACCACATAAAAGTAAGCCTTTAAAGACAAATTTAAGGGCTGCAGACTTTCTCAGTGTGTCAGTGGGATGGTTAATTTGTTGTGTCTTAAAAGATGGCCTACTTTCCAACAAGCTCATCAAAGTCAATTAACTCTAAAGATAATTAAGAAATACATTAACATGAAAGCTCATTCGCAAGCAGGTGATATCACACAAGCCCTGTGCTTTGCAAAAGAAAAAAAAGCCCATCAAACCTGTCCTTTTGCCGTTTTTAAAGCAGCACAGTGGCCATGTCATTTATATGACCTTTGCACTCCAACAATAAAGCAAGCTCATTTTGAAGACCATACTTACCCTCTTTAAAAGATACCAGCACAACTCTGCTGTCAGCGGGCTGCGGTTTCCTGTAGTTGCCATTCAGAGGCACAGAGACTGAGTCCTGGGCATGGGAGGAGTAGAGGGCTGTTGCCAGGGACAGAAACTAAGAAGACACAACAAAACAATAGCTTGTGAGCATTTTTTTCCAGACCAATTAAGGTTAAATGTAATGGGCACACCATATTAAAATGTCTGAAAAATCAAAGTTTAACATTGGCTTATGTATTCAAATATCAAATCTGCTTAAGAATTTAATTTAACACCGCACCTGTTTGCGAGATATCGTTACGTGATTCCTGAACAAGGTCCACAGGACACTGGGATAGCATGGAGGAGTAGTCAGTGACCCATCGTAGCGATAATACTCATCCAAACGTGCAGGCAGCAGTGCTCTGATGTTAAATCCGGGCACCTGGACTTTCTGATCTGCCAGTTAAAATAAAAACATAAGTAATATGCAACTGATGAAGAGTTTCAGACCTCAAACCTTACTACTCAATAACTTATATTCAGGGTAGCAAAACTATAAAACAAATTCTGCTAAATAAAATCATCACGTTAGACTCACCCCTGTACTTGATGCCATTGATGAACTTCAGAAACTGTTCAAAGGCCGGATTGAACTCTCCAATCTGTATGACAAACATAGTTAAATCTGCTGCTCCACAGAAATTCATACATCACTGTCCCCCCCACCCACAGAGTCCACAATGTCTCACCTCAACCAGGACACCCAGTACAGCCAGGCCATCAGATTTGTCTACAGCCATGGACATATTGGGATACTTGTCTGAATTGAAGTGTACTACGTGCATCTGTGAGAAAAAAAGAGAAATAAGTCAAGACCCTGTGGCACAAACCACAAAAATAACATGTAGTTGCATGTAGTCAAAGCCTTGAGATGATTGGTTGACGTCTGCTATGTTGGAGAAAGTATGCACAATTTGATGTAGACTTGGAAAACATCAGAAACCTTTTGGAAAATAGTATTTAAAGTGCTACAACAGATACCATGACATAAGGTCCCTATGGGATGAATAATACTTTATCTCTTAAATTTCTCTGAAGAAAGTATAGATAGAAGCGACAGATATTTTAATAGCAAGTAGAAAATCTTGTTGTGACAGAAAGAAGCTCACTTGGAAGGGAAAAGACTCAATACTCAGATACTGGACCAAACAAATGAACCTATCATCAGGACTGTTTTTTATTACTATTATTCAATGTTGTAAATCTTTTGCGAATAAAAATTATTTGTGAAAGAAATTACTCAAAAATTATTAGAAATAAAAGGCCCTATCTTATGCAAAAAGTTATTTTTTTATTTTACTACATTTTCTTTGTGTGAACAATTGTAGTTTCAAGGAGTTTGCAGTAAAGATTCCATCTTTATACCATCTCACCTCTGACACTTATTTCATGCAAGGTAGGTGTTAATGAGACTGTAAATAGTTGGTGGTATTCAGGGGATGTGATATTGGTGGAAAGTCTAGGAGGTTTCTTGTATTAAAGCACATTAATAAATAACATATTGTCAGTTGTTTACAAAGTCATGTAAGTCATTCTGTCCAAATATGACGAAATTGTATTCAAAGTCTTTGTTCTGTCTTGGGAATCAAGGTGGACATTTGCACTATTTCTGGGAAATGTTCAATTTCCCATCATTCCATCCCTCCAAAACAACATGTCATCAAGGAACTGTGGTTCTGGAGTCTGGAGAGACTTGAAAAGATGCATGCTCTCAACGTGTCCACTCTGAAACCCAGGTCAAACCACAGCACCTTATATGTGGCTGTGCTGCAGCTGGGGCATGGTCACATAAAAGCACACAGGTTGTAACCATTTCAGCTTCTACTGTTCCACTGTAATTCAAATGATACCAAATTATATATAAAAAAAAAAGTCTCTTATTTTTGTTTAAATCATAAAAGAGACTCTTACTTTTAAACTTCACCGTCTGCTGTACTTCAAGTACATAAGTAAGTAGAGCATACTAGTGTGTGAAACTGCTTACAGGGCTTCACACATTAAATAGCACAGACAGCCACTCCTTTCAAGAGGTGGTTGAAAACCAAAGCATATAATGGTCTGGTACTCTAATCCCCTTAAACCCAGCAGAAATAAGACACACTGTCATACTGTACATACCACAGCTGACTGAAATTATCGCTTTGCATTTTAGCATGTGCCACTAAGATAAAATATTCAAATTTAATTAGTACGTGGTGATTTATTTTGAAAAAATGACTATAACCATAACTGGCTCCTCTTTATAATCTCAGTAGTCAAGATTTTTAAGACTCACAACTTCTTTATTGTTTAAAACTTCTAAGTGTCTTTAATTACAGTGTTTTATAGAAGCATTTCATTGTACTGTACAGTCAGTTACATAATAAAAGTGGAAGATGCACAATAAGCTTTTTTTGAAACTGTCTGAGTGGCGAGTAGATGTCCAGTGTCAAGAAACTGGAACAATAATATGCAGATGCAGAGTTTCTTCAGCTTGAACAGCGTCTGTAAGCCTTGAAGCGTGTCAGTGGCTCTGACTCCTCTGCCAGTCAAATGTCACACATTTAAGTCATAAAGTATTAAATCATTCATCTGGTGCCATAGATGCTGCTGCCTAATGCTGCCGATAAGTGAAAGACCTATTTTAATGAATGGACTGAACTTATCTGACGAATACTCAATTAAAAAGTTAAAGTAAAAGTCCTATTTAAATGACATATATGAGATTTAAAACATTAATTCAGAAGCAAACAACTTTTTGCTATGTAAAGACATAGTGGAGTCGTGGTGTCACACTCCCTTTGCCTGTATTGCTATCGCAGCCTTTCTGTTCTTTGTTTACAAAGCCAGGCTGGCCGCATGTGCACCTTAGTGCATGTGAGTCTCTCAGTGTGCAACTGAGGAGAGCGACTGAAATGGCTGTTTTTCTCATCTACATCAGTGAATTAAGGATTTATTTCAATCTAATCAGGATTGGATTGAAATTGATTGATTGTTGGAACAAAGTTGGTTTTGGTGAGTTTCTGTCCCATTTTAATGAAATTATGATGTTACAAGTCTCTGGTAAAATTACAGTTTTTGTCATTTGTTTATAGAGTCTGGTGGCGAGTGATTTCTGGTCTGGTGAATGACTGTTTATGGTTAAACAAAAGGTCTGTCTCTGAGATTCTTTCCATAATGTTGTCAATCTGAGCCTGTCAGTGGCAAAAACAATCACTTTTAGTGGACGTACCAGGAACATTTGTCCCTAAGGATTAGTTACGTTGCCGTCATTGCAGCCTGTTTCATGACTATTTTCACATCTAACTCAGTGAGTTAAGGACATTTGACCAAACCAGTGTTTCCAATTGTTTGAAAGACTGTAGAAAGACTAAGAAAGATGGTTTTGGTGAGTTTGATTTAGTCCAGTTTGAAGTATGTTTTATAATTATCTGCAAAGTAAAATCACTGGTTTTGTCAGTGGAGTCTGGTTGGCTGTAGTGCCCAATTGTTTTAGTCTGAGATCAGCAGTGAATTTTGTACCTTTAAGTAAAAGTGACGTGATGAAGACGTGCTGTTTGCTTTGTTTACCTCAGCTGCATACTGCTTGTTGTTCACCATGTGTTCAGATCCTGTGGGTCTGCTGGAGGAGCCCCAGTGAAAATGGAGTTGAGCTGCAGTGTAGCGCTGAGGCAGGCCGGAGATGTACATCTTAGATGGCAGTGATATTTGTACTGTGGATTAAGCAACATGAAACCCCACCACACGCAACGGTGCAGGGTAGTGGTTACATCAGTTATCATCAGAGGATCGAAAAACATCACCTTTAACTAAACTGAGGAAGAGCTGTCGAAGTCTGTTTGCAAAAGCTGTGTAGGTGTATGTTTAAGTACGTCATGGTAGAGTGACGCAGGGGTCCTTTCTACATGACCTTCAGTGTATGATGAATGTTTACAAGTGAAAAAACTCTGTCAGCTTATTTGTGACACACGTCACACTGATTACTGCTACTCGGTTTGTGGCATTGAGGCTCATCGGGCATGCACACATAAGCACTTGTCTGGTCTTTGCACTCGTCAGTTGCAAATAGTTTACATCCATCAATATTACAACAGTGGAATCGTGACCTACACAAGGCATACATTACATGCATGTTTCGCTATACAGAGTTTGACACTGAAATTTCTCAAAGTATATATCAAGTTTTACATCGTACTTAAACTAACATGTAAGAAACAAATAAATCCAGGTCTGCAGCATAACGTTTAGTGTCACAGTTAGCCTCACTCTTCTATGACTGAAAATGTTTTTTATCTTCAAACAGAGCAGAATCATTCAAAAAACTATAATTTTGTCATCAAAATATTTTATTCTGTGGCACATGGGCACGGTTGTTTATGCTCTGATTGCTATATTTAGCAATCAAATTTAAGACTGTGGTATAAACAGATATTGGACATTAAACTGAAACTGGCTTCTTTTGTGAAGATGCATCAGACCCATTGGAGGTAGAGAAGATGACAAATCTCTGCTCATATTACCAGACTAAATGTGGAGCTCTTTCTTTTGGTGAAAGGACAGCTAAGATAATAAGAGAGTGATTATGGAAAATTGCTGTGGCAGAGGATCCCTGTATCATTTTCCTTAGGTTGACCCAGAAATTAGGTTTCTACAGCAAGAACCTCCACATTTATGTGGAACTATTTCTAATGAATACTGACTGGTGCATCACTTTCATTTGAAGATTTCCTAGATCCTAAGACAAAACATGGTGTGCACTTTATCTGATCTTAAATGTTTGCTGAGTATGATACATAGTTCCTTACCTGTGATGAATGAGTTTAAAGTACACATTTCATTGTACATACTGTACTTTATGATGTATTTTGGTGACCATGATGATTTATACTCACCAGAATGTCCATTATTTCCAAGAGTAAGCTGCTCTTTGGGTGACAGGTTGTAGTTTTGAACTTCAATTGGACGTAAGGTTGGGTCAAACCTTAGCAGCTCTGACTTGATGTTTATTGGAGACTGGAAAGCTCCGCCACAATATGGATAATGCTCGGACCAGTGGTTCTCTCCCTCTGGCCCTGCAACAGCATGTAAATTATTACTAATAAAATGCCTTTGTTGATACCTTAATGTAGCCCAAATGCCAAAATCTAATATGCTGTACAGTGGTACGCTGCATATCCTAAGTCATCCAAAAAGTGTATTTCACCTCAGAACACTAGTAGGGATATGTTGCAGGTCTTTTCAAATGTTAAACTTTTACATTTTAAAGGGCAAATGAGCAAAGCATTCCCCAGTGTGAAGTTGAATAGGGGGTGGCTCCAAGGAGGTCCAGTGCTTGTCCTGGCCCTCTGAACATTTTATCTGTAATCAAAGTGAAGTATTATTATCTATGTACAACGCAGCATGGGAGAGGCCCGTGGCTTCGCTCTTGGCCCTTTCTAAAGCAGCAAGAGTGAGAACCAGGCAGTTGTTTGTGGGGAGAGCCAGTGAGAACCCTGTCTCTCTCCAAATGAGAGGTTTCTATAAAGCACAGGACACCGAAAATGGCCACATTTGCAGATCAAGTCATGCAGTTTACAAAGTGACCTCAGTTGCATGAGGGTGTCTCTCGAAAGCGGGTCTGCAAAGGCAATGTGGCACACTGGCTTCGGAAATATTAATGAAAGAAATGGTGCAGAAGAAAAGGAAGCTCTCTTTATTTTCTGATATTTTCATTCAGCGTATTGACTGAAGAGTGAGGATCCATATTGGGCTTTTCAAACATCATGCTCAGTATAAAGTGAATGGGTGCTATCAAATCTGATGTAACATAATTGTAGCGGAATAGAAAACACCACAATGAATGTAACAGTGCTCTCATCACTTGTCCATACTTGCCACTAATTCATTATCTGTCCAGAATTAATCAAAAAGTTCACCATTCACCATATGCCAGATGATTAAATATGAATGATGCTGCATGAAAGCCTGCCCCCAACCCGAGTGTCAGTTCCCAGACAAATGTGAATTGATTGCACAAAACATGCCAAAAGGCGCCCAATGAAGCTGTGAAATCACTGAATACTTGTTTGAACCAAAACTCAAAGTTCAATCAAAGGCAAACTCTCCCTATCATAAAAAAAAAACTTACTCTTATGACTATAATTACTCATCATTCATTTGCTGTTTTAATTAGACCCAGTCTGCCCTTTAATATTGGCCTTCAGTGGCCCCTTGGCAATCCTTGGTAGAACAACTGTGAGTAATTTTTTTTAAATATGGGGGCTTTTCAATGTAAAAGCAGTGCTAAATAATGCTTTCATAACATCAATGGTCAAAGTAGAAAAGAAATAGCAGCCGGGTGAGAAAACTACAACATTCATCAAAATCATTTATTTTACTCACTTGTTAAGGTTCAGTATTTTGTCCTCTGCCAGAGGGTGGAGTGTTGAGGTGGAGATGAATCGTATGACTCAGCTGTGCCCCCGTCAACAGAAAGTGCTACCAGCCCTCCAGACTACTGGCTACTATGACAAGGCCTCTTGAGAGTTTGACTGTAACTGAGAATGAAATCCACCACGCTGAACTTGGGAGGCCAGAGGCTTTTTTTAATATATATATATATATATATATATATATATTACATCTTTCCTCAGTAGTAACCACACTCCTTTTCCCTTTGACTCCTTATTAAATTGATTACTTTCATTTAGATCAATTTGATTATTGCATTTATTAAGATGAATGCACTGTATGCGTTTTTGGAATGATCCAAGTGTTTACATGTACACGTGTACACGGCTTTGGCCAAGTACAGCACAGCTTGATCAATCAATCAATCATTTATTGATTATTATTTTTATTTATATATTAAGTATTCTGTTTACCTGCACAATTTTCCATTGTTTGTTTATGTCCAGCCTCTTTCAGAGGTCCAAAATAGGCAAGTATTATAGCTTCTAACTATAATTATCAGACCATTAATTACTGTGCAGAGAAGTCATTCTTTTCTTATTAATCTGTGTGATCATTTGCTCTTTATAAAGTTATCATGTTGCTTCACCTGCCAACTTATCGGTTCTAACATGCAATCCCTGAATGCAACAAACTTTTAAGAAGCAGTGACACAGTGACAAGAGTTCATGCTCTGAGCACAGTTTATGTAAGAGATAGTCATGGTTCAAGAAGTCCCTGCCCATAGTCCTTAAGGCATGAGACAAAGGCAAGTCAGCCACTTATGAAATGTTGTAATTGCAGTCTGGAGTGAACTCTGCAATTACATTACATGAGGTGACAGGGGGGGATGTCAGTACTGGTTGTCTCAGAAGTTGAAAAATGGTCACAGAGGGGTTTTTCTTCTTAATCAGAAAGCACCACATTCAACACTACTATCATGTTTCTCTTATTATAAGCACTGCAGTGGGAGCCATACCACAATACAATTGTCTCTGACTCAGTTGCCTCAGAGAGTTGCACAGTTGCATCAAATTTAACACTTAATTGGTTAATGCTGGTGTAAGGGTAGGAAATCACTGTGATCAAGATATACACAAGTGCACTGGGATTGGGAATCAACTAAAATTGAAAGTATATATATATACTTTCACATATAGTATATATACACATATAGTCAATATACCACTGACAAATTGTGAGGAAGATATTGAGGAAGATATTATCAGACTTACCAGTATATGTCCATTTGGCACCTGAAACACACGGGTACAATAATTGTGTTGCTGTTTTTCACTGTAAAATATATTATAATAATCTGACATGTTCACAACATTTCAAAACAAATTTAAATATATATATATTTTGAACCCTCATAATAAAGGAGCATGTGCAGGTGGATGGAGACACCTGTCATCCTTTCTGCTTAAGACCCTGCAAGTACTATGGTCCATATCAACTGCTGCAGAGAAAATGCCATATTCTTCTTCTTCCATCTAATTAACACAAATCTAAATGTGCGACCAAAGTCTTTAACATCTTAACAGGCTACTTTTTGCACTCACCAAAGATCTTACCATGCAGTACAGCGAGGAAAGTCAGCTGTATTAGCACGATGGATGTGAAGCTCAGAAAGTGCATCTTGATCCCCTCAGCCCTCCCTTCGTGTGGTGAGCCTGATGTTCACCCGGTACAGAGCAGGAGCTTGGAGCACCAGAGTGCCAGCCTTCAAACCCGCTTTTATACCCATGGATGTTGTCAGCTTCATTGTAGCTCGCGCTGACGTCAGTGCAACAACAAAACCAGCCCCCTAAGTCACCGGAGAGTGACAGCTCAACAGCTGCGACCGCATCCGAGCGAAGTCACTAGTTTAGAGCTCTTGCTGCGGTGCGGTGAATGTTGCACTTGCAACACAGAAACCTGCGACCCTTCAGATCCTGGTGCGCCGGGGGCTCAGAAGACGGATGGGTTTGACCAAATATTAACAGGTGAAGAGTGAGGGCTCCACACCCAGAGAGTCTGGAGGCAACATTGTAAAGTATGTCAACTGAGCACGATGTTCTGACATTACAAATACAGTGTCGTGGAGATTTGAAAACCTCCAGGTCACATTGTGTACATTGCACAATTTACATTTTAGATCTTTTCATTCTTTCAGGTGTTTTTCAACGACGGAGAAGTAGCCAACAGCATGTAGTTATTAGTTTTTATGTCTTAAAAACACACCTGGAGGGGGATCTGTAAACTGTTCTAGTTTACCTCCATCATCACTATTAATATCTATCTATCTATCTATCTATCTATCTATTTATTTTACCTCATACTCTCTGAAGATATAACATAATTACAAATTGGCCTTATCACAAGGATTATTACACACTAAAGATGAAAGTCTTTCGCTGTGAGACTGGAAAGCTGACATTAAGTATTTTAGCCAAAATGACCAAATAAGAGGATAGAGTGACCCCATAAGGATAACTCAATGACAGGAGGATTTGAACTTACTAAAAATGCTTTCTTGTCAAGCCCTCTGTAAAAAAAAAAAGTAATGTTGCATTTCAGGTTTCAATCTCAGCTCTAAAACTCTCACCGTGCAGCATAAAATGACTGTAATTTTTTTACAGTTACAGTTGGTATGTTGCTGCTGTGTTGCAATTATCACATTTAGCTGGGGCCTGAATGTTCCCTGAATGTTCCCTGAATAAGGCTTGGAAGATTCTGCACTTGCTGGATTAAATTTATATATACTGACTAATACACAAATATGGGGGTGTTTCAAACACCCAATAAGAGTATGATCCTCACATACTACTGCATATTGATCTCTGTATATGGAGCTGGTTATATATGGTTACGCCCTAATATAAAAAAGGCCGACCCTCTACCTATAATAAACGTAAAAAGAGGAAGATGTATATACCTGCTGTTAACTTTTGTTTCTATTGAAGGTGCCACCATGCTGGTCCAAAGGTCAGTATGACAGCCCACTCCACCTGTAGTTTACAACCCTCACTCAGTCCAGGAAAGACGGCACAAAGACAAGAAGCAAGATGAAGCACCTGTTGTTTTTGGGGATTGCTTTTGCTGCATTCCACATCAGTCATTCGAATACTCCAGGTACATCAAACCGTTTTCTTCTTCAATTGTAGTTCCTTTAAAACCAAGGATCAGTTTATACCTGAGATTTACCTTTCAGAATAGGACAGGCTATTAGCACATGGGCTCAGCTTTAGTGAACAATTATGAAGTGTTAGCCTTGTGGATTTTTTTTAAATACAACTGCAAAAATATTGTTCTTTACATATCTTATGATAATATTTTTCACTTAAACCTAATGTTTCTATTTTCGCTAAAACTGAATCAAGGAGATAAAGCTTCACCTTTAGTCCTTTCAGGGCAACATGGCGGTTACCTGGCGGGACTTAATGAACTGTAGGCTGAATGATATACAGTACAAGAAAGCATATTCTCTTGTGATAATGGGGGGAAACAGTTCAGTTCAATCAGAAATCAAAAGCCTTGATGGCTAGACTGCCTCTCTCAGCAGGATATAATGGTATTATACTTTTACTGACTTTATGTTCGTGTTGTAACTTGCAACTGGGGCCAAAAATGATTGTCTTTAGCTGTGACCAAAAAAGAAAAAATGGTATTTACTGTACGTTTACTCTCCTAGAAATGTTATTTACACGATTGTGCTAAGCTGACTGGACATTTCCTTCCTCTGTAATTCCAAACTTTTAAAACACTGAGATCATTTCTGTCTGAGCCTGTGCATGATGAACTGAAACTATGTCAACCTGCAACTTCATCCCATCTCACAACTGTGCAAATGTTTACGGAGGCCCACATTTTGAGCATTGAGGAATAGCCAGTCAGTTATTTAATTTCCCTCCAAACTCGAGCTTGTTAAAAGGGTAAAAAGCTTAATCTTTTCGTTTGAAACTACTTCCCTTCTGTGAAAGCTATGAAGGGCGGGAGGACTGAAAATGTACCATAAATTATACTTTTTATTGCTGTCATAAAAAGAGGGAGTGGGTTTCTGGTGATGAAGCTAGTTAAACATTAGTTATGTGATCTCAGGTTGATGATTTCTACTGAAACACCTATCATACAGTAACTGTGCAATGGCCATCTTACCACCTTACTCCATACAGTACTCACCACCAAAGTACTGTATAATAATTGTTTATCACACAATAAAAATGTCATTTTAATTTATTTATTTTTTTTATCATCCAACAGATTTCTGTCAAAAGGCCGCTGATGAAGGTCAAGGCACAAACTTTTTATATGCCTTGTATTATAATCCCACCCAAGACCAGTGCAGTCCTTTCATATACAAAGGCCAAGGAGGAAATGAAAACCGATTTGAAAATGAAAGAGAGTGCATGAGAAACTGTTCCCGCAGTGTAGAGACGGTCTACCCCATGGATGGTAAGATGATTTTATGAATTTATAGTGACTGAGGATTAATGCAATTACTCATTTTGTTTAAACACTAAGTCTGTTATAAATATACAAAATGAAAGATCCCCTAAAAGTAAAGAAACCCAGTCTAAAAAAAACGGTCCTTCTTCCTGGCTGTATTTCTGAGGACTTTGGAACATGAACTGGCTAATGAGGTAGAGTTTTATGGCCTAAAGTTCCATAAAAGGAAATACTACATCATCTTGACTGAAACAGAGAGGGGGGGGGGCTTCTTGAGCTTCCTACATTCTGTCTGTAGAGGAGTTTATTATATGACTGCAAAATCTACATTATCAGTGTCAATGCTATTTTGCGTGTCAATTTAATAGGCCCAAATAACGTTGAGTTTTTGAGATTTATTTGCATATATATTTATTCAGAGGCTGCAGGAAAGATCCAGCATTGAGTCAGCTTTGAGTACTAATAATACGCCACCAAGTGGTGAAAGAGCAGGACTACTAGCAGATGAAAGTGTGAATGAACACAACTTAACAAACTGCTTGATTTTGAAGTTTTAATCATCTAACACTCTGCTGTATCCATATCAAGTTTGTGTAATTATATTAGTATACTAAAGTAGTCAACAAGCACTGCTATGGCTACTTGTAATGATGATGATGAGAATGATGCTTTCTCTTTACAGCCTCCCTTGCTTGCCACTTTAAAAAGAAACCAGGTAGTTGTAATGGTCACTTTTTGAGATACTACTATGATTCTGTTCACAACAAATGCAAAAAATTCCTTTGGACTGGATGCATCGGAAATGGAAACAGGTTTTTTGACTATAACAGCTGCAACACCACCTGTGCTGGCATACATGGTAAGCACACATCTCGCTCTTATGTACACAGTTGGTGATAATTATATATGTTAACATATCAAAATTCCAATGCACGTTTTAAAACTGATGAGTTAGTAGTGATATAAAGAAGGTACCATGATATGATGCTTTTTAACATGTTGATCTTAACGGTTTTGTTTTCTAAGATGATGGTAATGAAGGGGAGGAGGAGGAGCCAGACACTCCTATTGGTCAGTAGGCACACAATGAACTCAGTGACAAAAACAAAGTCTTCATTTACAATATACTTTGAATCATTTCTTATTTGGAAAGTGACATTATAAGCAGGACAGGTCCCTGTTTTAAATGGGTCTGTTTGAGTCCAAACTGTTTACACATTACAGGTTTATATAAGTTCTAACTGGTATCTGCATTAAAATGTTGTTATATACTTATTTAGTCCTACTCATCTTTAACACTGTTGTCCTCTTCAACAGCGATCATCTGTGGAGTTCTGCTTGCTGTCATCACTGTCGCTATCTTCACAAGTGTGATTGTCTTGACCATTCAGTCAAAGTAAGACCATTTTGTCTTTAGTTTTACATAAAGAATCAGTCCCTCCAGGAAGACGTTGCAATCGCAACAATTAACGCAAATCCAACCAATCCCCATGACTTCTGCACGACCTTGTAATTTCGTACAATCACCGCAACTGTTCCTCAAACGTCACCAAACTCACTTCCTTGTTTCTACTTGTGAAGATGCAGACATGTGCAATGCGAACATCTCACATTTACCCAGTCCAAACAGGTTCATTCTCACTGGAACAAGTTGCCTTCCTACAAAAGCCTGAAACCATCACAACATGAATCACATTTTTTTAGAAAAGCTGCCATGAAATCAGGCATTTTAGGCTGCAATGACCCCCCAAAAAAGCCTGATAAATCCTGGAGGGACTGCAGAATGATGACCGATACGGCTAAAAAGCACCAGCATTACTTATAGTTAATGACTGATCTTGTCTTCATATTCATTGTACCTATTTAGGAAGAAGAAGGCCTTCAATGAGAAGGGAGCAGGGAAAAGTAGAGACGTCAAGTCTGACTCACCTCTTCAGGAGCCGGCAATTGAAATGGCGTAGAAAATCATGTCACCTCATTAGCAACATTTGGAGTTTTTACCATCTTGGTTTTGTATTATAACTCTGTTCTTGATACTAAACATATCAACTGATTATAACTTTAGTTTAGCTTTTTATTTACATATGCATTAGCCATTACAATTCTGTTCAAGTTTCTCATCATGTTTCAGCTCTACAATGTGTGCAAAGTGATGTTTTTTTATTGTAAATGCAAGCTTTACCTTTTACTTTAATTCAGCAATCAAATCAAAAGTAAATCTGATTAGTCAAAGTATAATAAACAAATAAACCAGAGGTGAAATATCAGTCAATTAACTGATTGACCGAAAATTAATCAGCAACCATTTTGATAATTGATTAACTGTTGAGGTAATTTTTATTGGGGAAAAATGCCAAGATTTCTCTTTCTTTCAGCTTTTTGGATGTGAGAATTTCCTGCTTCTCTTGGTCTTATCTGATTTGTCTTAATGGCATTGAGTGTTAATTGCAGCCCAGCATCATGAAAACATGTATTTCTTTTACATCAGAAGGAATTTAATATTTTAGACAAACATTCAGGCATAAACAGGAGGATCCTCATCTGCTTGCACACAATTACCTGAAATGTTTTTAACAGTGTGGTCTTGTAATCATTTCACTGTTTTCAAAATATAACTGCATCATCACCTGGCTCAACAATTTGCTGAAAAATGTCTAAGTCTTCTGAAGGCACGTGCCAACTTAAAAGCAAAACATATATTTAGAGCTGTTCTCGTACAGTGATGTCCACTGCACACTCTCTGTTATTATGTTTAACTGCTCATCATTTGTGAATCTTTTGTTTTAGGCTGTCAACATCTCAACATAAAGGTGTCAAAAAACGACCTTTCAAACTTTCTTTCATTCATCATCATATGGCTGCTATATCATTAAATGTACGTGCTTTGTATTTGGGATATAAAATTATCCACAACAAAACAGTTTTACAGAATAACCACAAGTATGAAATGTTCTTATGGAGTTCCATTTTTTAATTATTCACTGTAGATGGTGTAAATATTTATAAAACCTCCTGGTTATCATCTCAGGTAATATGTTTTAGTGCTGAAAATATTCTCAAACAGTGATGTTCAACAAAAGACATTGCAGGGACTTCTTGTCAACGTGCTTTTGTACTGTTTTTCAGTTGCAGCTGGGTTTCACGATTGTTCAGATGTAAGTTGTTTGATTAGTTCAATGGAATATGATGTAGGCATTCATCTTGATGTCAATTTTTCAACCATTATTGATGAAATGTAAAACTTATTTTGCAACCCATCAAGTCATCTGTGACTTGGAATGTGATTGAAAAAGTATTTTACATCCATCTCCATTTTATAATTGTGTGTGAATGCAGATACTAACAAAATATATTAATTTAAGTATTTGGAAAACAATATTCAGTTTGCACATATTCCAGTTGCAGTGAATTGATTTTTAAAAGAATGTCCAGACTCTCTGTAAAAGGTTAATCTTTCAGTAAATAAACTGTTGATTTTCTTACCCTTGAGGTTGAGATCATGTGTTGAAGATGGGGTTGAATTTGAATATAGTCAGATTTGATATATACATATTAAATCAATATAGGCTATGAAACCATGAACAAAACATTTTATCAGTCTTCTATGTGAAAACCAGGTTTTCAAAATGGATTACAGTTGCTTTTCATATTTATTATTTAATGCAAAATACATAAATAATTAGCCAATAAATGTCAGTAGTGTGTTGGCCTTTTGTCATGATGGCAAAATGATACATTTACACGTAAACTGATGCTTATTTGAGCAACCAATCACTTTTTTTTACATTTATATAAGTGATGAACGAAAAATAATGTTGTTGATGGTGTGCCAACTTTATATTTCTTATATAATTATATTGTCGTTCTTTAACATATCGAATTATGGGCTTTTAAATAAGTGTTGTCCTTTATTATCTAAAATTGCTATTTCTGCTTCCCATAGAGTGTGCTTAAACACTTCATACTGATATAATCATAATATTCACGGAACAACCATTTAAACGTTTTAACTCACTCTGTTAAAGGCAAATCACTGCTCGTACATTATCGGAAACAAGGCAAAGGCTCGCTCCTACGCATGCGTGCCCTGCTGACACAAGTTCAGTGTTGCAACATTGCTTAATGGGGTTAAACTTTGACCTACAGCTTCCAACCGTCAGTAAGTGTAAATACAATAAAAAAAAAATAAAAAAAAGCTTGTGGACCCAAACACGAGGTACGTACGACATCTCCAAGCAGCCCCGGAGAATATAAGCGAACCAGGAAGTAGTCGCACGCACTCCTCACAAGCTTTTTCATCTTTGTTTCGAACGGCCGAGCCGGCAGACACGACGTCACTTCCTCAAGTTATTTCCATTTGTTTGTGTGGCAAACGCGAGTAGTTATCTAGTACCTTACACATCAAAGATACCGTGACGATTTTAAATTCACAGTGTGCCCGAGTGGAAGCAGCAGTGGCTTTTTATTTTATTTTATTTTTTTATTTAGTGTAAACGGCGTACATTTAAATTACACAGCAAACAGCAGACGTCTTGGCCGTTGGCGAAGACAGGAAAACGTGCGCTCGCGAACAGAAGTAGTGAAGTAGTTGGTCGGCTAACGTTAGCTACGTTAGCTGCTTTAGCTTCCTTGTTCCTGGTGCCGTTGCTGTTGCGGTGTTGTCGGCTCACATTAATCAGCTGACGAACCCACAAATTGTACACTGATGGAGTGCCCTCATCTGAACTCAAACGTGAGCTGCCCCGGCGATTCCTCCCGGTTCCCTAACGGTACTCCGTCCTCCTGGTGTTGCAACGGTAAGAGGAGCGTTTGTCACCCGTTCATTCAACGTTACTGACAGCGTCCGTTAATGGAAACATAAAGTGTAGGTGCGGTGTGTTGGACCCCAGCCTCTGCACTGCCACATGGAGAATATAAATCACGTCAACTAACGTTACTAGGGCAGCTCACAATTCACCAAATAACACCGCCTGTCCGTGTGATACATAACGATGCATAAAAGCACTGTCTCATTAAATTGTACACTTCTTCAAATAAGACGGATGTATCTTTTGTCTCCAGTTTGCAGGTCCAATAAAAGTCCATGGGTTTGCCTTACCTGTCAGATGGTCCACTGTGGAAGGTGAGTTGGTGTCTAAAGCTGCACCCAGACTAGCACACATACAACACAAGTGACTTAAGTAATACTCTGGTGTGTTTTAAAAACCCTTTTTTCTTTGGGACAGTCAATTATACAACCATGTGGCTGCTATACGTAAAGGAAGGTTTTTAGTCTACAGATTTCAGTCAGCGGTCACTGAGATGGCTGTGTATAAATATGGTCCTCAAAAACCTGAGGTTAACTAAATGCATGTTAAACTGTCGGCTAAAGCGTTCTCCCAGAGCTGCGAGTGTATTAGGATGTCGAGTTTCTTCTTGTGTGTTTATACTTTCATTCAACGCACAGAGCTAAGCGTCCGGGTTTCTATTTGAGGATCTTTGAAAAACATTGTTTTGGAACTATTTCCTGGATCCTCAAAGACTCGGGTCACTTGGATTAAAAATATTTCACCCAGTACACCCAAACAGATGTTTTATTTCAGTTTTAATGCTGCGTATCGTAGGTCTGGTACTGTTCACATTTCCAGATGATGTGTGTTCATATAGTCATCTCTCTTTCTGCACAGATACGTCAATGGACACGCAAAGAAACACTTCGAAGAGAGCCAAGTCCTCGGCGTTACTCAAAAGAAGGGTGAGAAACAGGAGAAAGAGAAATCTCATCACTCTGTCTGCATGGACTGCAGCAGCTACAGCGTGTTCTGGTGAGTGTCCTTCATGACCGACCGATCGATGGCTGTCTGTGACTCAGTGTGGCCCTGCAAAAGTACACGCACGAAAACCTTTTTAACAGTCAACAGGGATCGTTATGGTGTAACAGGATATTTCTTTATCATCATTAATTTAGTGCAGGTGATCCTACAGTCTTTTTGTTACTCGACACAAATGATTAAGTGTTAATTTCCATGAAAACACTATAATTCAAATGTTATGAACTATATTTAGGATTATTTGATGAAAATCACTCCAACCACATTTACACCTGTGCTTAAATGTTGCACGCAACCACAGTAAAACAATATATTTATGATTACTGTGTTTCTTTTGCGATGGTTTAATGGGTTCAACTCTTAATAAGTTTATTGATATATCAAATATGTGTGTGATTTGACTAATGTGGGTTTTATAGTTACAGATGTGATGACTTTGTTGTCAATGACACCAAAGTCGGGCAGGTGCAGAAGGTGAGGGAACATCTTCAGAGTTTAGAAAAGTAAGTACTAATCTTAACAATAAAGTCAATAAGTATGTTGTATTTGTCTCATTATTTTACTTTACCGTCATTATACTTTAATTATGTAAATAATATTTAAAATGTAGCATTAGGTTTGACAAAATAAAAGCTCAATACACGATCAGGGTCCAGATAAAGTGTGTTTCCCTCTCACAGCTCGGCACTGATGGGTGACAGACAGAGGAAAAGAAAGCTCCAGGAAAGCCTGGCTCCAGACAGCAAGTTGTTAAAAGACAACGTAAGTGTGTGAAGATGATTGTTGCAGGTTGTCGGCGCTCCACAGTTGTGTACTGGCACTTAGGACTGTAAGACCACTCAAACTTCACTCATATTTTCCTTTTACAAGTTTTGTATTCACACTGTGGCACAGCGCTCCAATTATCCAATTAAATGAGTCACAGAGTCATATATATATATATATATATATATATACACATCTTTGTGTGTCTCACTTGTCTCTGTCAGGATGGGGCGGCGTTAGGTGCTACAGGCCTGCGGAACTTGGGCAACACGTGTTTCATGAATGCCATTCTGCAGTCCCTCAGGTAAGGCTCTGCGCTGAAGGCATGTGGGCGGTAAACTGGGTTTTCATCATGATTCAGTAGCTCTGCCCCTGCAGGCCGAGGGCCCCACAACCAGTCATCCTTTATTAATACAGTCTGGGGCACAGTCAGGGGAATTACACAGGCTGCTTATAAACAAGACAGTCAAAGACCAATTTTCCCAGCTAACACATATTTTGCCAGGTTCTGAAAGGATCATTCAGGTGTCCATTTTATATTATTGCTGACTAAATCATGCCATAGATTGGAAATTCAATCTTTTTTTTACTTTCCAGGCAGCCATTAGTTTCAATTAATTTCATTGTAGTGTGTCATGAAGCTAATTCATCTCTGTGAATTTCCAGTTGTATGTAATGTTGTAATCTTTGTATGGTGTCATTGAAATCCCCCTTAGAGTCAAACAATGCAAATACAGCAGTACCAAACTGTAGTGTTAGTCTACCACTGCCTGCATATGCAACTTAAGAGCTTAAGAGCAGGCTGCTATATATATTATCTTTTTTTTAGTTTTAGTCTTACAAAACTAGTCTTGTCTCAGAAGTCTGAAGTTACATCCCTGAAATGGAAACGTTGTAATAAAGTATGTGTACCTCATGTGAGAACAATTAACATGGCAAACCACTTAAAACATGTATTCATTATTCAATTCTGTGCAAGCTCATAAAGAAAACACATCCAGGACAGTTGGTACTGGCTCATTGTTGGAAGCCGGCCTTTGGAACAATGGAAATACTGCAGGATGGTTGTCACATTAATCTTAACCTGTGTTACCACATAATGATGAAGCACCAGTAATGGAACTGTTACTGGGTCTGGAAAACCTTCAAAATCTAAAAACAGGCTGATTTTGTCAGCAATAACTTAATCTTTACAATCATTAGAATTAAAGCAGGCTTATAATGTATAGCCAATGTCATCTTGTAGTGTCTTTTCCACGTAGCCTGTTCCTTTCTAACACAAGGTGCTTTGAAAACACTCACATAGTCGATTAGAAGTGTCCCTGGAAATCTCTGGTGTAAAACATCACAAAGCATGCTTTTCTTTGACAGCAACATCAAGCAGTTCAGCTGTTATTTCAAGGAGTTGCCTGCCGTGGCTCTGCGCAGTGGTAAGACGGCAGGAAGAAGGATGTACCACACCCGCAGCCAAGGGGACAGCAGTGTGTAAGGTCCTTTCTGGAGGAGGGGGGTTTATGGGCTGAGTGCATTTATCTGCAATAGATTTCATTTAAGTATAAAACTAAATTGTTTATTGTGAGTGAAGAAATCTTTTCTTATGAGGCCCCTTATTAGAGTAATAAGCACTTCTGCTGCAGAGCAAGACTACAGTTTCACACATTAAGTAGTACAGAAATTGTTACACAATGAGTGAGCAGGAAAATAACAAACACTATTGTATTGATAAGCCTCGGTGCCTTCTGTAAAGACAAGTGTCTGACGGGCTTTAAGTGTTATTTGTTCCAGCTTGTGCAGCGTGGTAACAGTTTCTTTATGTTGAACAGGTCTTTGGTGGAGGAGTTCAGGAAAACCCTTTGTTCCCTGTGGCAAGGCAGCCAGACCGCCTTTAGTCCAGACTCCTTATTCTATGCTATATGGAAAATCATGCCAAGTTTCAGGTATGTTAACGTTGTACAAAGAATTTGCCAGGAAACAGTTCTGCTTTCTGTCTGTGTGCTCAGAGGTCCAGTGTGTAACATTTATTGGCAAAAAAGTGAATATATTATTAATAGGTATGTTTTCATTAGTCTATAATCACCTGAAAATAAGAATTGTTGTGTTTTCGTTACTTCAGAATGAAACGTTTTTATCTACAGAGGTAGCAGGCCCTCTTCCATGGAGGCAGCCAGTTTTCTACAGGAGCCCAGAACAGACAAACCAAACACTGGCTTGAGATATTTTTTGTGCGGGCCACCATTGTTCCTCCCACACACTTGGGAGGGTGAGGCGAGGGTGTTGTACTCTGCGACCACACCGCTAGATGCCACTAAATCCTACACACTGGGCCTTTAGGCGTAGCATATTAAAGTCGAGATGTTGGCAGAATACAGCAACCTGCATCTTTGACTGGAACACTCCTATTGAGAGTTATTTACCGTGATGTAATTTAAAGCTGTTTGTTTATCCAGGGGGTATCAGCAGCAGGATGCCCATGAGTTCATGCGTTACCTGTTAGACCACCTCCACAGGGAGCTCCAGTACAGTCGCAACGGGGCGTCTCACCCTGTCTCACCTCAGGATGGGGTCAGACTCTCAACCGCAGAGGGCAAGTGCTGCATGTGAGTCCGTTTAACTTTCCACTTATTCTGTTTTTGCCAGTTTGTGGTGTGTTTTTTTTGTGATCCGGAACAAAATAGACACATTTAACATGGTAGACATGCTATCGGACACGGCGTACGAAAGTGTCTGTTTTTTTTTAAGCACATTTCACTGTACTGTGTTTATTTTTTCTACTTATTTTCTTATTGAATGCTATTGTCTATTTTTATTTTTGTACTTTTGGCCGTTCATAAGTTGTAATGATCTCATCCAGGTATTCTTTTTTTTATGCATTGACTGAATACCAGAAGATTTAAATGTGCATTTATTGATTAAAAATGTAAAATGTTTGCCTTTTGGTTTCAGAAATGGGACCGCCAGTGTTGTCACATCCATTTTTGGTGGCATACTTCAGAATGAAGTCAACTGCCTGATATGTGGGACAGAATCTCGGAAGTTTGATCCATTTCTTGGTAAACGAGTTGAAGATCTAGCAAAGCCATTTCCTTTGCACACTTGCTGAATGAAATTGGGGGGGGTAAATAAAGCATGATAATGCATTTATTCATGTCTTTTTCACTCAGATCTGTCTTTGGACATTCCCAGCCAGTTCAGACAAAAGAGGAGTAAGGACCAGGATCCAGGGCCAACATGCACCTTACGTGGTAAGTTTCCCGCTGTCAGACGCATTAGTTTCTATTTGTGTACTTCTGAAATGAATGAAATCATTTTATATTAATTTGGCTTTGTTTTAGATTGCTTACGTAGCTTCACTGACCTTGAAGAACTTGACGAAACAGAGCTGTACTATTGCCACAAGTGTAAAAAGCGACAGAAATCCACTAAGAAGTTCTGGATCCAAAAGCTGCCAAAGGTAGGAGAGGGATATCATTTTATCACAATTTACTGATTTGACAGTTTATTCTATGAAAGTGAAGTAGTGGGGAAATGGTGTGTTTTGGTATAATTGTAGGTTTTATTTCCAATTGTAGGTTTTGTGTCTGCACCTAAAAAGATTCCACTGGACGGCCTTTTTGAGAAACAAGGTGGATACCTATGTGGAATTTCCACTGAAAGGTCTGGACATGAGGGGCTACTTACTTGAGGTGAGCTCAAAACAGACCAAATGCTGATTACAGACTTTCACAATAAAGGTTTTGGATTGTTTGAATTAAGGCATACTAGGAAATAGCGTGAATATGTGGAAATTTAGGGAGTGTGCACTGTTATGAAAGCTTCCAAGAGAAAAACAAGTTTCCTAAAGTTGTCATAGTGGAAATTTTATTGGTATTACGTCAGTTATATTTGTAGAAAACATCACAATACCACAATGACTTAGTGTACTGGTGCCAAATTTAAACCTTTGTAATGAAGGGGTATGGTTTGGGGAAAGAAAGGAGTCAAGACAGTAGTCACACCATGGAAAGATCTTAACCAAAATGCTGGACAACTGACTTTGTAAAGCATGTGAAATATGACAGTGAACTGTAATGGCTATATTGTAAGTTGGGCACAAACCTCGCAGCCGCAGACAGCATAAAAAAATTTGAAATGTACATAGAGGAGGACTTTTTATATGCAAAAATTACAATCGCTTCTTTGCCAAACTGGTGGTTAAGTCAAATTTGACAGTCTGTTGATGATGGATTTGTATCCACAATCGAAAAAACATGTGCTAGTTGGCGTCCAGAGAGATCACTGTTGGCCTCTGCTGGCTGACCGGAGAAACACTACAGCTGGAAAAATGTTGTAAAATTGCATTGTGCACACACTGATAAAGCTGAAACAACATCAAATTAATCAGCAACTATTGTCAAATAATTGTTTGTTATTATATATTATGAGTGTGAGGATCTGGAAGTTTTCTTAGTTCTCTATGATAATAAACTGATCGTCTTTGAGACGTCAACTTGGGCTTCAGTAAATTATGGTAGGCACATTTCACCATTTTTTATTTTATTTTATAGACTAAACAAATAATTAAAAAAAACAATTGACAGGTTAATCAATAATGAAAATTATCTTTAGACATTGATGGTTATAAAATAAATATAAATGTTAAATTAAGGATGAACGGTGATGGGCAACGAACTGTGTAGTTACAGTGCCATCTGCAATGCATACATTATTTATTATTTGAATGACCTGCAGCATTTCTGTTATTTGACAAACCCAGAGTGTAAACTGGAGTATCTCTTCAAATTGATTACTTTCTTGCTATTATTCTTTAAATTTAGTTTTTTTTTTTGTAATTTGAGGGTGCTATAGTTTTCAGGTGAATCTTTACTACTTTTATGCCTCTTCTTATCTCTACTTACATCTACTGATTGTGAGACCTTGTAGACTTATCCAGGTGCTGAGCAGTCGGTCTCCTTTAATTTGTAAATCTTTTAGACAAAAATGTGGGTATTTAAGAGTTTAGAAAGGAAATCCTTATCTTTCTTTTATTTTATTTATTTTTTTGCAGCCAGAGAATTCATTATCAGAAAGCTGCCTGTATGACCTTGTCGCTGTCGTCGTGCATCATGGATCTGGGTGAGTAGATGAAGTATCCCAGTTTAAGCACACAAATGGAGCAGCTGAAACTGATACATACAGTTTGCCACTTTAATGAGCACATACAGCATCTAGAGTGCAGCAGCATGTTGCATATATCAGACTTGAATGGGGTCAATATGTGTTTTTTTTTTTTTTTCCTCCCTCCAGCTGACAGATGATTATGATGTGCTTTTGTCACCATGGTAGTCGGCTGTCAGTCACCCAGTCGCTGTATAAACAATTCAGTTTCAATTCAAGACCAATTTAGTTGAAAAGCCTTGTAGACAGCTGCAGTTTAAAAATTCATGTTGCCACAAAATGCTGTAAGGCATTAGGTTGAAAGTCCTTGAAAACGTGTTTTAGATACTCCAAGAACTGTTTGTCAGAGTGCTGCTGTTTCACCTTTTGGCCTCTGAGTGGCGATGTTGCACCGCTGCTGTGTTGTCAGTCTGAACTCGTCTCTCTCACTTCAGTAGCAGTAAATGAAATCTTGTAAGAAGCCACACAGCATAACGTGATATATGTGTCTGTTCACAGGGTTGGATCGGGGCATTATACAGCATATGGCAGCCACGAGGGCCGCTGGTACCACTTCAATGACAGCACAGTGACTCTGACCAATGAGGACACGGTGAGGAAGGCCAAGGCCTACATCCTCTTCTACGTGGAGAGGACTGAACAGGTGGCCTCAGACAAGACTGCCACAAACAGCACAGCCACTAACCAGCCTGCTGTGGACACAGCGGCCACGGACAGCGTTTCTTTAGAAGTAGTAGCTCAGGACACGGCTGCCGCAGACACGGTTTTGATGGATGTGGCGGCCTCACACACGAATGCCTTGGACGTGGCGGCCCCAGATAATGCTGCATTGGAAAAGGAGGGTGAAGACACGGCCTAACTACGTAACGCTGACACAGCTTTAGTGGAGGCTGCAACAGATAGGGATACCTCAGACAAGGCTGCAACAGAGGAAGCCAGTCAAGCTATACGAGCCGTTGCACCATGATTCAGTCAGACTGCCTCAGACCAGCTCTTCACTCCATTTTGGCTTCAATCACATTTTTCACAGTGCTTGATTTTAAAATAGCTAATTTTCACGTTTTAATGTATGTGCAATTATTTTGTTGTATTTTCTGACCTGCATGACAGCAATCCTGTATAATTAGCTGCTTGAGTTTTGTTTAGTATGACTTTTATTTGCATTTATTTCCTTGCTGTTGTATTCCTCGGTTTGGGTAGACTTCTCCGTATGTAATAGATTCCAAAGGTGATTGTTTAAAATAAGGAAGTAAAGCTTGTAGTCTTGGAAAACCAATGTTGGTCCAATGTTTAGTCTAGCCTGAGATCGATTGTGTCATGACACTGTCATTGTAACAATATTTGGAGTTTCTATTGTTTTTAAAGTTTTAAAATTTTTGTAATTTCCATCACTTGAAAACCTCGTAGTTTTGTTTTCCAGTTATTAGGGAAGATTTTAGCATATAGAATGCAATGCATTTAATGACTGACAAGTGCTCGTTAGAGCTTTAGAAAGTTGTGTTAACTTCTTGACCAGAACCAATGTGAAAGAAATGATCATTCTCAAATTGTTTTGTTTGTCTGTTTTGACGCTGGAGTATAATTTAACGTTTGATGTTGATCTGAAATGGGCTTATAGAAATAGCCCCTGATAAAAATCTCTTTGTATCAGGCAAAGTGATAAAATACAGTGGAGAATCTTTTTTTTTTTCAAATGTTTGATGTTTGTTTTATTTGTGGGGGGATAAAAACAAAAACCACACAAGCAAGCTTTCTCTGAACCTATTTCCTTTAGTAACAACCCAGCAAATCCATTACCACAGCCAGACAATATGGAGCAGTTAAAGCTAGACGGGAAGATACGGTTTCTTTTATTTCTATCATTATTCTTTCAAGCGTTTAAAGTCTTTTTGTCCACTAAATGTTAATGTCTTCTTTTGGTAATCTTTTAAATGTCAGGAGCTCCCATTATTTAATTACCAGTACTAAAGTCAGAATGATAAAGGCCTAGAAACATGCCACCACACTGTCTTATCAGGAACATCTCCCTACATCTACAAAATCTAAGTTTATTTGTGATTCACCTTCTTCTAATTCTGCCAAAGCAAACACATCTGTATATGTTTGCCTATAATTCTTTCAGCCTGTACTGTTTTTATTCCTTTAAGGGACGTTAATAGCACATTTTAAACATACACTATTTATACCATATGTGCAGACTTTAATGTACATGTGAGGAACTGTTGGTTCACATGTTTCGTCTTTTCAGGTTGTAAAATGGACACGTGCACACCATAAGACAAATTGTGTTTATATGCCCAATTTAATTACCCATACACCCTTATTATGGCTTGTAACAGAAAACAGCCATGTCCGAGTACGACTTTAGAGCACAGAGAGCAAATTTTAAAGCGAGCCTCTTTTTTTTATTTTAAATTTGTTGTTTTTCTCTTCCCTCTAGTGAACATCTCTGCCCACACACACACACAAACGCACACTCAACTGACTCACACATAAGAGCTCCCCTCGGGACACGTGCCAGCCAGTCAGCCTTCTCGCTCAGGCAGGAACAAGCACTCCTGTATGATGAGGAACAGCTGCTCTTCCTCGCCTGCTCACAGGTGGCTGTGGGCTCGCTACTCTCTACTCTCTCTCTATCCATTAAGGACACAAGTGGCCCCTTTTCCCCCCTTTCTTATTCTTTTTCTGTTGAAGGCTAGATCACAGCTGCTAATAATAAGCTCACATTGCACTGTATCTAAGGACATCATGACACAGTGAGTCAGAGTACAGACTGTAACCAGCCTCCCAACAGTGGCATTTCCCAATGTCCTGCATTTTTAAGAGATTGGTGATAACAAGTGGAACAGGACATAACTGGTAATGTAGTGTGGTGTGATGACATAGATATGATGTGATTTTGCCTATATGCCAGAATGTCCTCTGTGCTCTAATTGAGCAATTTGATACAGTGAGTCATAGTTCACCGTGTTCCTTCAGGTAAAGTCCAACATAACCTTGTGCTTGTGACTTTCAATTATTAAGTAATTACCGTAAATGATTAGTCTCTGTGATTATCTCGAATATGATACAAGAAAATTCCAAAATTATATTGTTAGCCCTTAAATCCTGTACAACAGAATGTCTAAACTGCCACCTTTGTAATATGTATGTTAATGTTGTTGGTACCGTGCCAAGAGGTTAAGTCAACTCATTGTCATTTGTGTTTTTGATGCTGCCATTGATTGCAATATATTTTATATTTATAAAAACAACAAAATATAAGTACCTTCCATTTGCTGTACCACCTTTCTTTAAAATGTATCACAGAATTTAAAATGGCACACACAACCAGTTAAAGATCCCCTCCACGTACTGCTGTCACTCAGTGTGTATCTGAGAACTAGGCCATGGCAGTGTAAACATCTGGTTCAGTCCACTGCTTGCTGCCTGTTGAGAGCCATGACAGATGGAAAGGGAGTGTAGGGCTCAAACACTTCCATCTTTGACTGTACCGGCAGTTGTCTTCCCAAAATAGCCCTCTACTCCCCGGCCTTATATGTGCAGGCCTCCAGCGTGTGCCTGAGGAGGCATCATGTATCTAGGCCACACAATACGGGCTGCAGGCTCATTGTTGCTGCTTACCAGCAGGCCTATCACCGCCCCGGGGACGAGGCCTCTCTCTCTGTCTTGGGACAGTTCACCATGCATCTCACCCAGCTCAACCACGAATGTCTCCTTCACCTTTTCTCCTTTTTGGACAAGGACAGTCGGAGGAGTTTGTCCCTTACCTGTCATCAGCTGCGCGAGGTCTTCCTGGACCCCCGCCTCTGGAATCTACTCCACTTCAGCTCCCCGTGTCAGCTGAGGAGAGACAACTTTGTGCTGGGACCCTCATTGCGGTACTTGACTGTTTGCTGGTACTCTAGCAGGGTCCTACAAGTGTGCAACATTGAGGACTGGTTGAAGAGCTCGTTCCAGAAGGACATCTGCAGTAAACATGAAAGCCTGGTCAGCACTTTCCTGACTCATGTCTGCCACATGTGAGTGTTTGTGTGTGGTTTGTCGTGTGTTTTGGAATGACGGAAGATTATTATTACAGTGACCAACAGAAGGTGGACAAAACAACACTAGTACTTTTACAGTATACTATAATATAATCTAAAGCAGTGGCTTTTTGGCCTTTAAGAAAATAGTATTCAGTTGTGACAAGTTCAACCTGAGTGATTTACCTTCTATGTTTGAATAAATTAAGAAATAAAACTTCTAGAGTCCTCAAGAAGTAAAATTATCCTGTAATTTACAAGAAAAAAATTATCCTTTTTTTTTTAAGTCAAAAACTTTGAGTAACAGAAATATGTTTTTCTGCTTTACTCTCTTAATTGTTCTCTTGACCCCTCAGCTTCATCTTGTGGGAGCCCCGACTCCTAGGTTGACAACAGTACACTTCAAATGTGACCATTTTGGATGCACTGTATTATAAAGTGTTGCTGTATTTCTATCAATCCTGGTAGCTTCTTTTCACAAGATGATGTTAAAACATTTTATGGGAGCATGAGCTTTCACAGTGTTGTGTTAAACATGAACATTCGAACTGTCTAAAAAAATGTTACTTCTGTTCAGATGTGTCTTGTGGGTGATCACATCATTTTCTGAGTTTTTTAGGGTCATTTACACCAGCCACGGGGTTAAAACTGTTTTCATTTAGAGGCACATGGCTTACTGAAACTTCCATGTTTAACTGTAGGCAGCAGGGAAAAAATCATTAGAAACAGATGTATCCAGAGCTGGCTATAGAGACAGAAAAATGACACATCTGTGGCACATAAGACTGATTCTATTAACTAACATAACTGTGGTCAGATATCAAATTATATTTATTGAATGATGTGACAGTTGGATTTGATAGGTCACTGAAACGTAGCTTTATTGGCTTTTGGCCTTGTGTGCGTGTCTGGCTGCATGCAGGAATCAGCCTGGAGAGGCGTAATGAGGTCTCTGGATAATTTCTCCAAAGCAGCCAGTAATAACCGTTGATGTGAGGGAGCCTGGCCACCGCAGCTGGCCAGGACAAGAGGAGGGAAGAGGGGCTGGCTCAGCGTATGACCCTGTGAGGATTTCCTGTATTGTGAAATTCGAGACGCAAGACATGAGAGCTGCGAGATCCAGTCAAAACTAGAACCACCTACTTTGTCTGGGTCCTGTATCTCAACGCCCTTAAGGCACACTCATTGCATACTGATAAACCCTCCCAAATTGTCTCAGAGGGAAGGGAAGAAAGCAAGTGCACGTGACAAAGTGGGAGTGGACGCAGAGAAGCTGTGGGGGTGATAAAGGGTGATTTGGCTGCAGACCCTCCCAGTCAGCTGCAGACTAAAGATTTACGCAGGCAGGTGGAGCCTACAATTGGCTCTTTGTTGCTGTCAGAGGAATGAACATGTGCATCTGTCTCTGCCTGCCTCTTCCTGGATACTCCGCGCAAACTCTGACGCCAAGCCATGTCTGTCTTTTTTCTTCTTTTTTTTTATCTTCATGGAAAAAAACTATAAAACATAGCTTGTCATTGGGCTTCTTTGTAGTGTAGCTTCCAGTGTAATGCTCCTCTAATGCCAGATGACAACATTAAATCAACTGTCAAGAACGCAGTTATTTGATTTTGATTATCTTGTCAGGTCACAGTATTAGAATTATAAAACATGATACTCAAAATGCCTTGTGCGGGATGCAAAGTGGGTGGCAAAAAAAGCTTTGGCATGAGGCTTTTATGGTTACTCAGTTGATTCATTCCAATATTTGATATGCGCCATGTGATTAAATTGATGCTTTCTCTCTCGAAACGAGCACAAGCATGTCTTTGGTTGCTATTTAAGTATAAGGCTTAAGACTTACTTATGCTTACAAAGTACAATCTCAGCTGCTTTTGAAAATATTCACTACTAAATTTAGACGGTGAAAGATGTCCAAAAATCTGTGTAGCATGTTTCAAACAAACCCTTCCACTTAAAGAGACCAAAGCAGCTGAAAGTTAAATGTACGTCTTAGTTCCTTTTAGAGTTCACCGGATAATTTGACCAGACAAAATACCGTTAGGAAACCAAACAGGTCATTAGAGAGATGATTACAGGTTAGCGGTGTGGTGTTCTGCTTGTGCTCAGCTCAGACCAGACTGCCCTCCATGCTGTTGGTTTTAATGTGAACTACATCATGTCTCAAACCTAAATAGAAAGAGGGAAACAGTGCGTACACATAGATTATGTACGATAGATAGTGATAAGATAGATGGATCGATAGATAAGATGATAATAAGATAGATGAGTAGATAGATAGGATAAGAAGATAGAATAGATAGGATGTTAGATAAAGATAGTAGATAGATAGATAGATAGATGAGTATGATGAATAACCTCCAGACAAACTGTATGATGTCTCTTGCTTTTTCATTTTATGTTGCAGTAAACAGCACACCACACTATTCTTGTGTTGTAAATGCCACATTGTGATTTGTTTTCTTTCGACTCGTGTTCCAAAGAGCTGCAACTGTGCTAGACACAAAGAGGCACTGGAGACATCAGTGGAATAAACCCGCTGTAGGGCAAAAACATTAGTATCTTGCAAAACAATAAACAAGTACATACACAAACAAAAACAGACTGGATGAGACTTTTTTCTATAGTGGCCGATTTGCGTTATTCCTGATGACCTTTGCGTGTTATTTTACTATTTATGAAATGAAGAAGTTTTCATATTTGCCTTAATAGTATTTTTCAAATCATTTACCATAAGCTGGTGCATTCCTTCCTGTAGCTGATGGTCAGACAGGACAAATAAAGAAAGAAAAATACTGTGAGCTTACCACCACAAGAGGTGCTATATGAGCCGCTTCAGTGATGTGCCTAAAACATGTGGGTATTTGTGTGTGAGAAAGTAAAAAAGGATTTTTTTAATGAGGGCCGATTAAGACAAGATGGCATGCAGATGGTTATATGCTCTGGTAGAAAAAACAACGATACACACAAACACACACACACACACACACACACACACAAATATCTGCACATAGTGAGGGGAGGTGCCATGTGAGGGTGGATTATGTAACAAAGGTTGATGAAGTTTTTATTGCTGTCATGTTTATCTCCATTCACTTCCCTCATGTACTACCTTCTCTGATGAAACACACTAAGTACAGTCATTAGACACTATTAAATCTCTTAATACCACTAGCTTTGAGTTCTTGTCATTCCACCAGCCCACACCCTCTTTTTTTTTTTTTTTTTTTTTTTGGGGGGGGGGTTAATGTCAATATATTGCAACCACATCCGCTGATAAAGCCCCACATTGGCCGCATGTAATAAAGCAACCGGGCACGTGGATTAACTGTGTTGCCCCATGTTCAGAGGTTACTGGGACAGCAGCTACCCTCAACACTTCCAGGCAACTAGAATATGTTTGGCTCACATGTGGTAAAGTGGTTAAGATTATGTAAGTCTTTATGTAATCTGCATCAGTGAACGTGAGTGACATTCTCGATCCGTTGCCATTAGAGTGTCTGTCTGCCAGCTCTGTACTGCCGGCCTGCTAGTAGGTTGCAGTGCACTCCTGATACTGGGTGGAAACATGCACTAAACACATGCATTTCACAGCAACAATTCACATTTATTTTTTAGAAGTGATTCCCGCAAAATTAAGCATGAGAAAATGCATTTTCGTCATGCTATGATTCACCAAACATCCTGTAATTGTTCTGTGCAACAGTGCCATACTCCGTTTATTCACTAAAGCTTTGTAGAGGACGGAAACATGTGAGCCCAGTGGGACAGCGTGTGAAGAAAAGATAGCTTGGTCTTGGTATTAAAGTGCTCTATCGTTAAACAGATCATGTTTCTGCCACTCAGTGGTGTTGTTTACATCTGGTTCACATATACCTCATATCAGGCTCCTGATCTATGTGCTCTGCTGTTCTAAGAGTACTAATCACAAAATAAGCACACACACGTCAAACAGCATTGCTTATTTAGGGCTAGTCCTTCTCCAAACAAACTAATCCCTCCATACCATACAATATGTCCTAAGGCGTGATGAGTAAGGATAACACATAACAGGTGTTTGTGCCGGTTGTACTCCACCACGTGTGTGTCACAGGTTAGTGCTGTTACTGACTGCTGTCTTTCGCCACAGGTGTCCCAACCTGCTCTCTCTAACCCTGTCTGGCTGTGGACACATCACTGACCAGGATGTAATCTCCATGCTGCAGAGCTGCAGGAAGCTGCGCTGCCTCCACCTGGAGAACTGTGTCCGCATCACCGACCGCAGCCTGGAGGGCGTGGCAGCTCATGGAGACAGTCTGGAGGAGGTAAAGGTGGACTTCTGCAGGAACATCACTCAGGCGGGGCTGCAGGCTGTCAAAGAGAAGAGGCCCAGCATCCACCTGAGTGCAGAGAGGAGTGCTGATATGATCCCAGACAGCAAGCCCGAGGAGAGTGTGCCACTCAGGAGGACACTGCAGAAGGTCCTGCTGTTCTCCTGATGGGAATAATTTGACATTCCTTTCCCATGGACCACAAGGAAGAGTAACATTTGGACTTATCATTTGAGGACTTTGATGTGATGCGTTTGTTCTGATTTGTAGTTGCATTTAATAGAAGAGTTTCTGCACCATTTTTATCATTTGTGTGCAACATAAGTCTTTCTTATTTTTTAAGCTGTCTATATTCCATGTTATCCTAACCATAAAGAACTCCAGACACACTCACAATAAAGTCTTATGTATACATGTGGCCTTATCAGCAACTCTTAATCAATAAACAAAAACATTATGCAATTTTATGATTCCATTCTTAAAGGTCCATGTGTAACATTTAGGACATTCATTCATAGAACATAATATTCATTGGTATATTTTCATGATCATGTCATGTATCTGTGTTTCATGTATTTTCATGTACAGTGTATAATCACCTCTTTTTATTGGGTTTCTTTTTTTTTTTTGTTTATCTACAGAGGTTAGCCAGTTAGATTAGCTTAGCATAAAGCTGGAAATAGGGAGAAACAGCTAGCCTGGTTTACGGCTAGGGTATCAAAATCCACCTACCAGCACTTCTACAGCTCACTAATTAATATATATGTTAATGTCATTTGTTTATTTGTACAAAAACTGAGGTGAAAAACAACAATTTAAAAGACACTCAAAAGGTGCATGGTTGCACTGTGTCCTCAGTCTCTGTTATGGTAAAACATTTCAGGAAGGAAGGGATCTCTGAGGGCAAAGTGTGCCTGAGCTCTGATTGAATCATGTTATATAAGCCTGTGAGACATATGAAACAAGGTTGATTAAGGGGGTGTGTCTATTTGTAAAAGCCACGTGACAAATTCATTGCAGGCTGCTGCTGTAGAGTGCTCCCAATCCTATGACTGCATCTCTGAAGAATATATTTTCACACAAGGTCCACATAATAAGGAACACAATTCTTTCAATCCTACCTGCACTATTCAGATATTGTTTCCTTTCCAGTTTCCCTTTGAAAGGTCATAATACTGTGGTTTTTATTGACTGTTTTTTTTTTACTCAGCGTGTACCTGTTTACTTATTTATTAAATGTGTCTATGAGAATTTTCCTTTGCTTTGTGATGGAGTTTTTTCTGTATTTAAATCTGAATCCTCATAATGAGGACTCATGTTAATCAGATCGGTTACAAATTTACTGTCTTTAGTAGCATCTTAATAAATTATTAGTAAAAAAAAATTATGTTTATTTATTAATTGTAAAACAACATTTATATTTATAATAATCACTCTATGTAGAACCACTACTGAGGCACTATGAGCCATTAACACTGTGGTATTTAAAGCATTATTGCAGAGTTATAGTACTGGTAAAAGTGGATTTACTTTCTCTTAGCATCATCATGCAAAATGTTTTGGGCTACTTTTGGGACTGCATTCAGTAACAGTATATCTGAGTGAACTGTGTCCTAGTTAATCTGATTTATTATATGTAATGAAACAAAAATGAACCAAATTTGTATTTGAACTCTATTTGCTCGCCCTCTTACCCCAGTAAACAGGCTGGGTGCAGAATGAGCTGAGAAAAGGGGTTAGAGTGAGGAGAGTGGTTTGGGCTACAGGATCAATTTCAAAATTTTCATTTTACTTTTAAGTCATTAGACAAGCATCAAGAGTAACTGTATCTTTTTTGAAACCAATTGATTTGAATATTATCTTGATAAGTTAATTGTAATTATGCTTCTGCCTATTTTCTCCGCATGATAGCTAGACAGATGGCATCTCTTATAATTCTAAATGTATCAGGTTTACTGAAAACTAAATTGCAACACACAATGGCAATAAAAGAAAGCCCCCTACGGGTGAGTGAGGATAGTATTGCATGTACTGTTTTATTATACAGTAATGTGTTGTTTTCCAACAAAGAAAGCCAAAAACCAACAGTAGATAAATATAACTCTGCTATTGAACAGAGACACAGAAGTTCACGGACAACAAATGCCACATTGTTTACTGCCACATTGTTTACTATAAAGAAATATGCCTCAAAATGCTTGCCAGGATGGACTATTAGGGGTTATGAATTCCAGGTGGGGAGACTCCTGAGGCACATCCGGCTGCCTACAGCACTCAAAGACAATAACAGGACAGAGATTTAGACATGTAATAACACGACTGCATCAAAGCGTCACTCCTCTGCACCAGGGGCAGGTTTTTTTGTATTTTTATGGTTGTATGATTTCAAGAGAAGACAATCTTGAAAGACCTGTTGCCCAGATGTGTGTCCTTGAAAGCACTGTCTCTTGCTTTACAAGCTATTCAGTCAGAGGCAGCTGAAGTATTTTTGTTACTTCAACAATGCTGATATGAGTAACATTGTATGACTCCTGCTTTGTACAGCTCCTTCAGTGTATCTGAACTGTGAATAAAGTATCTAAGTCCAGCCTTTACTCTAATGGAAATCAAGGATTTACACCTGAACAGAAGGGCATTTTGTGCCTGAAAATAGTGGCTACTATGTTGAATATCATCCTATTATACAGAGAGAGAAAGTCACACTGTGAACTCAACAGCCATTTTCCGTGAGTGATTTTAGATTTAAGTTACTGCGCAGAAGCACAAACACATAAGAGAAAAATTCACAGTATCTGCTATTCAGATCTCAAACATTTCATGAAATTCAAATTGTTGGTCGGTTTTATGTTACTATCCTAAATCGTGGTTAGTTTTATGTTGCTGTACGGAGGACTGTTCATGAGAAAGCCGGTGCAATATAAATCATCCAAGATCAAAAATGGACACCCACATGCGTCTGTCTCCACCACGGACTGGTAAGGGGCTCAGACTTGTTTAAGCAACCCTGCCTGAGGTGAAACACACAGGGTTTGGGGGGTTGGGGCTATGTCTTCAAACAGACCACACTTTGCAATTACATCCCTGCTTATGAGAACAGTCTGCTGGACAGTTCATAGTTGAAAGTCCTTAAGTAGAATATTGTGCCAACAGATTTCTGTCTGAAGAAACAGCCAAAATAAAACATTTTATGTTCATTATCTGCTTCAAAAGACATGTTAGGGGGGGAAATGACAGACTTGTTTGAACTGCCTGAGGAGTGTTTCCGCTGTACCACTGTAGGATGTGACTTTGCCGGTTTTCTCCTTTTTGTTTGCTATTATGTAACTCTACCCCTGATGACATGAAGTTGTTTTGCTTTTGCGTTGGCTTGTTTGCTTTCATTATTTCCATAATACTTTAGCCAAATAGCCCACCCAGCAGGTATGTCATCAGTGGTGGAAGAGGTTGGGGGTTAGAAAAGTAGAAAGAATGAAACATGTATCAAAAATAAGAGTACTCAGGTTATTACATATTATATTGTTTGATTTTTATTACTGATGTATTACTGTATAAGCATTTTGATCATATTTTATAAGCTGATATGTTTTATATGTTAAATCTTCAGCTGTCAAATAAATATAGTGGAGTAAAAAAGTACAACATTTTCCTGTGAAAAGCAGAAGTACAAAGCATAAAATGGAAGAACTCACATAGTGCAAGTACCTCATGTTAACACAGTACTTGAGTTAATATGCTTCAACTTCAGATTCTGCAGGTTTACCTTCTGAACAAATGCACACCTTCAACAATAGAAAAGAAACAGACTTTGTGCCCTCACTGTTATAAACTAAATGAACAGCAAGATATCAATTCGGCTCTCCTGACTGAAAATTGTGTAAAAGGCTAATTCCAAGGGATTGATTAAATTTGCTACTCTTGCCCCATTAGAATACCAAATTTCATTAAAAAAATTCAGCCGAAGGAAACAGCTAACCCTCTAATCATTCTAATTAGCTGCTCTGCTCTCCACAAGTGGCATCGTGTGGAGAGATGAGAGACTATGATGTTAATTACGTGGCATTTTTTTGCATTTAGTTTGGAAGACAAAGGCTTATTACATTTTAATGTGAATCACAAAGGACAAAAACGAAAGTCTATATTTCAATAATTCATTGGTTAGTATAATTTGTATTTTTAAATGTATTATGCTCAGGCAGGTGACAACAAACTAAAAAGCAAAATAATATGTGAAAAACCAATGTAAGAACTTCCAGAAAAGAAGATTAAAGAAGAAGAAGAAAATAATGACTGTGTGGCCGGGTGACGTTTGTAGTACTAAAAATAGTAGCTGACCTCTTAATTTCTCAGTTTTAAAGTGCAGCTCGTCTGGGTCTGACAACTTCAGGAGTATTTCTCTATGTTTACTGTCAGTCTGCAACACCATGTTTGCCGGTTCGTTGTCTCTTTCCAGGGATTAATCTGGACTCCCAGGTAGTGCTCTGATTCACTTGGGGTTGGGTTTCCTGCCATTGTCCATCTTTTGCACTCATTGATTTTGTATTCCTATTCCACTCATAAACCTGTGGCACTTTGTGGGATTGTGGCTTGTCATCCCAGGAATCACTGAGCAGGACCAGAACATTGGCAAAAGCTTGGGATGTTACCCACATCGCTTTTTCAAATCTCCTACCCATATCCTCCATTGTGTAGAAGAAGTCGCTGATTGCAAAACTGAAAAGTAGGGGAAAAAGTGAGTGCAACATAGAGTCTGCATCCTGCCATTAACATAGCAGATTCTCCACATGATACAGTCGATGCTCTTAGGATGAGGCACAGAATCAAAGTGTTATCTTAAGGATTCAAGGCCTTTGCGTAGTGAGTAGCGCAGGCCTTTCCCCTGTGAGAAATATGAGCTGATAAAGACAGGATGCTGGTGGTAAAAGTGGGAGGGGAACTGAAGCAATGGAGGTAAAGGGAAGGAGTAGTCATCTAAACCCCGAAACCTGAAATCAGCAGTTTCCGGAGATCCTTATAAGGTCAACCATAGGAAACATGTCTAGTATCCACTCACTGGTACTCGCCCATGGAGGGGAGGAGGCAGTGTCAGCTTAAGGGAGATAGGAAAAGGTTTCTTTTTTGGGGGGGCGGGAGGTGTTTGAGTACTTGAGTGAGTCTTAGTATGTTTGTGACCATGACTGAGTGCTGGTCCAGGGTCAGACTCGGGGAAGGGCTCTCTTTATCTCCATCTCTACAGAGGACATCTGAGCCTCGTTGTGATCCCAACCCAAAGCTTTATGCTGTTTGAATCTGGGGTGTAGGCTGTAACATAAAACTCTACACTCCACACTGAGGATGAGTAATGCAGTCTAGACAATGGAAGCATGTGTTATCTTTTCTTGTATGAGACAGGGCATAAATAAGTTGCACAGTCTTCAGTTGTTCTCTTATCATAAGTAAATATTCATGTAAGCAATGGGCACATTTACATCTTGAGCTGATCAGATATGCCTAGCAGAACCTCTGCCAAGTGTAAATTCAAATCAGACATGTTGGGACTAGGTTCAGGGACTGATTTTGGAAAAACAGCCATCATATGAAAAATATGTCTGCTTCATATAATCCCTTTTTGGCACCATGTTGTAATTGTAAATAGGTTATTATAGAGTTGAAGTCCTGTAAGTCTCTTCTGTATTACTATACTCATATTTCAAGTCAACTAAAACAATTTTCCATTTTCTGCTACTTTATACTTAAAAAATAAATATACAGCACTAAATTATATATTTGATAGCTATAGTTACATTGCAGATTAACGTTGTACACAAATTCATATAATCATTTTTAAAAGTATGCTGATATATTAAAGGTTAAACTATCCAAAAATATATAAAGTAGTTCAAATTAGATCCACCTTCACCAGTTGAGCTCATACATCGGTGCAACTATAATATTAAGATAATATGATATAATTTTTCTTCAGAATCTATCGTGGCCATGACCTCACGAAAAATGTGAAAGTGCCTAGAGCCAGTGTTTGGTTTGTTGGTTCTGGGCTACCGTAGAGACATGGCAGTTCAGCATGGCGGACTCACTAGACAAGGACCAAAAATCTATCAAGCAATGGAAGATGTTTGGATGTGGAACATGGAATGTAGACAAATCTTATCTGGAAAACAGACGCATGAAGGGACAAATGTAAATATCTCTGAGCCTGAGACGTCAGTATAGAACTTCTTTATCATAAACTGATGAGGAATACTGTCCCATAAGTTTTATT